GCAGGTGATGTCGCGGGTGCAGGTGCCTCGACGACATGATCACCGCTGTTAGCTGGGGCTTTTGGAGCGGAGGCAGGGGTGTGGGCAGTGGTGGATTTTGAAGGTGCTGAAGCGGGGGAGGAAGTGTCGGCTTTCGTAGGTGAAGCTTTTGGTGATGGGGATGCAATGGGAGCCTTGTCAGGTGCCTGTGCGGACACCAACCCAGCAACGGCGACAAAAAATAGAAGAGAAATAACGACAAGTTGACGTGCCATCATTGGTAATAGCTAGAACGAGTATCAAGTGGAATGGAATGATAAGAATAAAAGGCCAAAAGAGGATGATGAGATCGATGAGATGAAAGATATAAAATAAAACACCACCAGATAGATCCTTTCAACAACGCAACACTTCTCTTCTCTCTACCTCTACGTAGATTTAGAGAAATGCTGCTTTCCGACTGAAAGGATGAGGAAAAGGTGTGAGGAGTAGAGCGTATTATATAGAGGGTGGAGTGGGAGGCTTGTTTGCGCGGATTGTGCTCCATCACCCAAGTTAAACAAAATCAAACTTTATTTACGCTATTCTGTTAAACACAATTAATGGTTAACTAGAGAATGGGGTAACTAAATTTGTCTATAATTTAGTTTGAAGTTTACTATTTAATTATTAAAAATTAAATTAAAAAAATTTAATATGGGTTTTAGATCTATGTGATGGACAATCTATTCAGACCGATAATAACCCACTTTATTTGGTATTTACTATTTATCTAATAAATTTATTTTGAGTTATTTATTTTTAAAAGTTAAATTAAGTTATTTCCTAAAAGTTAAATCAATTTTGTAATTAATAAAGTATTTTCTTTTTGAAAAAATCACTTAAAAACAATCTTGGTTTATGATAATTTTTTAATGGGTTCCACTATTTGTATTTAATAGACTATGGATAAACATGTGTTAAGCTAATAAATAAGTGTCTATTAAGAATGTTTAGGAGTGAAACTATTTACTTTTTGAATCTTATTTCTTAAATTAATAGGATGCCACGTGTATGAATGGTGGTAGTGGGTTGTGGACTTTAGCAGCAAATTCTTAGAAAAATGCCACATGTCTAGCTTTTTAGAAAAATGAGATAGTAGTGGGTTTTGGGCTTTAGTAGGAATTTAGCAAAAATTGTCACCTGTCTGGCTTTCCAAAAAATGAGCAGGCCACTTGTCTGAATGGTAGTAATGGGTTGCAGGCTTTAACAACAACTTCTCAGACAATATCATTTATCTAGATTTTCAGAAAAATGAAAAAGCCACCTGTCTAAATGATAAAGGACTATAGTCTGAATTTCTCTACAAAATGTTTAGGCACGTGTCACTAGGAGCACAAGAAGTATTTGGATGCGTTAATTAGACTTGGTTCTCTTATTAATCATGAGAACCTTTATATTAAATATCAATCCTCCATTCTCCCACTTAACTAAATTTGTTTGTAAATGAATTAAAATCCTTAACTAATAATACCTAAAAGGGTTTTATCTTAAACTTCTCTCACCGAGAGATTAGTGTTGGATTTTATCCACACTAAAAGAAAAATTGTCAATTAACTATATAATAATTATTTGGTTTGTTATGGAGACATATATATAAATGCTTAGGAGTACAAATACAAATAATTAAATAGAGTGTAAAACCTTATATTTTGTATTATTTGGCATGTATTTGTATTGTTCATATTTGCATATGTATTCCTTCCAAAAGCTGTATTTGGTTGTAATGCAATTTTATTTGTATTAGTACAAATCTATGAGAGTGCAAATGTAAAAAATGCATATTCTTGTTTAATTTTGTTTTAAATTTTATTTTATTTTGTTTCATGTCTTAACTTAATTCATTTATACCGCAATCAAACAAAATAAGCTAAAATTTAAAACAAAAATAAGTCAGAATTTACACTTAAATCATTTGTACTGTCATAGTTTTGCATTAGTACAAATTTATTTGCATTGCAACAAAACACAGCCTTACAAACAAAATTGAGTACAATGGGATACGTAACCAATCAAGAGTGAAAACCCCACACACCCTCACTGGCATGTTCACTTTTGATTGGTTATGTAACCATTGTTCATGCATGCCTTTGCAGTCTATCTTGATTCGTTTAAACCTTGTGACAAATGTACAAGGAATTTGTCAAATTAGACTAGGATCGCAAGCAAATTGGATCTCGAATTAGAAATAGGTAAATGCAAATTTAATTTTTTTTTTATGTTTCAATTCGGAATGAATCTTATCTGTTAATTTATATCAAATTTAGATGGAAATCTTATATTGAATAGAATTAATAAATTAAATTAATTTGATTAAAATCATTATGCAAAGTATTTGATATTACATGCCTTCGGAAAAACTTTAGCTGTTCGGGACAAACAGAATAGTATTCTATTGAGAGCATTTTTGGGGAATCCCCTATTATCATGAGAGACTGAGAGTTAGGGCTGTTCATAAGAAGGTTCAACCCGACCAAACCGACCAATTCGGACCGATCCAACCCGAGTCAGCCGGGTTTTCATCAGTACGTGTCAGTTTCGGGTTGTGCAAATTCCTAAATCGATGATTCGGGTCAGTTTTGGTTTTCATACAAGAAAACTGAAATCGATCCGAACCGAACCAACTTAGTTCCTAGTTCAAACATAAAGTTCCAAAGCCCATTAGGCCACCTAGTTTTTGAATGGTTGCAAGAAACTTTGGATTAGTGAATAGTGATTAATGAACAACTTTTGTGATTAACTTTTCATTTAAATTTGATCATAGGAGATGGCTGAAATGATGTTCAATTTATGACTGTTTTTAAAATTAGCAAGATTTTATCACAGGGATGAACTTAGAACCGAAACCGACCCAACCCGACTCAAACCAACCAGGTCGATTTTGCTTAACACTGGGTCGGTTTCGGTTTCTATGTCAAGTAACCCGATCAGGTCGAATCGGTTAGAAAAACTATAGTAAACCGACCCAACCCGACCCGTGAACAACTGCTTAGGTTGTTGGCTCCAATAGCCAAATTTATTCCGCCTCATATTGGGCATATTGTACGGGACTTCAAGGCCATCGATATACTTTATATAAAGACTTACAATTAACACGTGGCAGGTCTCCTGTCAAATCTTCAAACCAAATAATAAAATGATAAAACTCTTTGCATATTGAGGGTATTTGAAGTTTGAACCATGTCTAAGCCTTATCCCAATTATATCATGTTTCATCGTTCCATTCTATTTAATGCCATGTTAGTTGTTATTCGAGTAAATATAGTTAGTTATCCGAGTAAGTTTTTCTTAGGAAACACTTATCCAGGTAAGTGTATTTATTCGTGTTTTTTTATTTTTCAAGTAAACAAGAAAATGATCATTTTAGCCATAAAAATTTATTATTAAGTGGGGTATTTTTGTCCCATTTAAGTGTTGGAATCATGGTTTTCAAAACTGGACCGGACCGGATGGTCGGATCAGAAAAACTAGGAATCGGTCAGCTGATTGGTTTTGATTTTCCCCAAAACCATTGATTTTGGTCAGCAAACTACTGACCCGGGCAGTTAACCGTTCGAACAGTTTTGACCATTTTTTATTTATTTTTTTATCAAAACAGGCCAGCCGTTCGACTCGGTAACCGAACCCCTGACCGGTTCAGTCTCTGGGTCGTTTTTAAAAACCATGGTTGGAATCTTTCTCCCATGTGGGAAAGTTATTTACCAACCTAGGAGATATGATGGGAATCACTTACCCGGATAAGTGATACTAGGAAAATAAACTTTCCCTAGTCCCCACATTAATCTGAAAAAAGAACATGGTATTCTTGGTTAATGAAAACCAAAATCCCATTAACCAACTTTCCCCCTTCTCAAAATCCAAAAAAAGAACGCCCCCTAAATCATTTTTTAATATTTTGACCCATGTCCTTTTTTGGTCGGTTCATAGCCTGTCAGTTCCCTTCAATTTGTAATATATTATAAGTGTTATTGTGGTCTTCTATAAATATGACCCATTAAACCATTTTAGGTCATGTTTGGGTGATCTTCTCCAATAGACTTTTTGTGCTTTCGGTAGATAAGCATAAGCTGTTTTTGTTGGTTTAATTTCTGGCTTATTCTTTGAAATGTCATAGTGCTCTCAAACGTATCTTTTAAATGATTGGCACCTTCAAAATTTTTAAGTGTCTGAATTAACCTCTCAATTATTTATTGACACTTTAAAACCATCAACATGCCCCAAGTACTTCTAAAACCTAGACTTGTCGTTTTTTCTACTTGTCTATATTCAATTACAAAAATTAAAAAAAAAATCCAGAAGCATAAGCAATTAAGCACTTTTTATGGGTACTTTTTAAGCTACTGGATTTAGCCCTTCTAAACACAAGCTTACTTTAATTTTTCTCATTTTATCATCAATTGGAGCTACACTTATTAGGTTCCTTAGAATGACTTTCTGACCCTATCCTTTCAAGCTTTTTCATTCATCCTTTTTTAACATATGTATTTCTACCATATTTTTGGACATGTTGTTTCTTGACTGTCCAATACAATACTCCATACAGCATATCTGGCCTGACATGGTTTAAATTCTTATCTTTCCTTATTCTCATTGTCGCTTTTTTTTTTTATTGTGCTATTCATTGCTAGTTTAAAAATCCCTCGTTTTCCCTGTTTACATGATATGACTTGCATAAAACTTGAATCAAGTAAAAAACACAACATTCAAAGCAAATTTATTGATAGAATTTAATACCATAAATAATACATATAAACATATACCATTTGCTGTCCTAAATAAATTGAATGGATTGAGTCGGATTATATCGGATTGAATAGTACTTAGGATCTACTACTTGTCATGTTGTTTGTATTAGGGGTGTCAATGGACCGATTTTGGGTTGGACTCCGTCCAAATCAAAATCTATCTGGATGGATTGGATGGACCAATAAGACATATTAAATTTGGACGGATTGGATGGACCAATATAACATATTGGATTGGACCTGATCCATCCATAACGAATTTATATTGGATTGAGCCCATATCTGATCCATTGATCGAAGATAAGAACATAGGTGTCAATGGACTAGGTTTAATTTGAAACCCATCTAAATTAACAAGAATTTGAACAGATTGGACAGTCTCTGGACCGGCCCAAAATGATCCAAAATATTCATTGGACTGGATTGAACCAGGTCCGTTTGTAATGGACTCACATTGGACTGGACTGGATTGGACCAAACCCAGTCCAATT